CTGAAGGAAAACAGAATTTGGATAATCAAAGAACGGCATGTGCATATACAACAGATGAAGGACTAGCTTGACAGAAGATACATGTAGCCATGATGGGACTGATTTTGCAAGTTTTGGAAGCCATTTGTTATTTTTCACTAAAATCTTATGGAAGAAATGTTAGCAAAATTAATTCTGGCAGCAAAATGCAAGGTGGACTGACACATAGGCAGACTGGCACATAGACACACTGGCATATAGGCAAAAGAAGACGAATGAATAAAACTCATGCAATAACACAAAAGGAAATGAGGCAAAGACAGTGCAACTGGAATGGGAAAACAGGATAAATGGAAAGATGACCCAAATTAAGAAATTAGTGAATGAACACAACTGACAAAAGAAAAAGATGAGATTTAGAGAATTAAAGAGAGGGAAGAATCATAGATGCTTAATAACACTTGCATTGTTAAAATATAAAAATAAAAACAGTATAATGAGTAGAATAGACAGAAAGGAGCATGACTGGTGGTAATTTAACAGATTAAGGTTTGTACCTATTGCACATAGGTTGATTAGAGACAAAAAATATAGTACTAAATTCTGAATTTGGAAACTCTTCCTCATTCTTCACAATACGTTGAGTGAAGATCACATAAGGTAAACTGAAAAAAAACCATGAGTTATTGAAATATTTTGGTATCTTGCTATACCTGAATTACTATTGTACAAAGACCTAATGTGATCTTAGGCATTTTTCCTAGAAATAAAAGTCTTGAGATAAAATTCTCAGGAAAAATAGAGTTAGAAACTTTTTTCTAAAAAAAAATTGATAAGCTTTGTGCAGTGGCAGTATCATAGCCAATGAGGTTTATCTGAGGTGCGATTATTGCTAATTAAAAAAAATTGATAATATTGAGTATGATGACAACTTGATTTACTTTAAACAATGCCAAAGTAGTGTCTGAATTTTTAAAGCATGCGCTGGAAATTTACTGATATCCATTGCTGTATCTACTAACTACATGACTGGTCTTTCTTCCTTTTGTATTTTTTTTTTTTTTAATTTCTTATTCTCTTAAAGGTTTTACTTATTTGAGAAAGAGAGAGAGAGAGGATGAGCAGGGGGGAGGGGTAGAGGGAGAGGAAGCAGACTCCCCTCCGAGCAGCGAGCCCGATTCGGGACTTGATCCCAGGATGCTGGGATCGTGACCCGAGCCAAAGGCAGTTGCTTGATTGACGGGGCCACCCAGGTGCCCATCTTTCTTCTTTTTTTTAATTGAAGCCTTGAAGATATGGTTGAATAAAAGATTATTTATTTGAACTAATGATTTTACAGGAGCAACACATAACAATAAATTTCACGAACGGAAGCCATTAATCAGGATTAATTTGGGAGGAATCATGGCCCCCTTACTCAATTTTACGTATGTTAAAAGAAATTTGGATTTTATAATGAAAATCATGCTCCGGTTTTAGGGTTTTGTTTTTGTTTTTGTTTTTTTACGTATTACTAATTGCTAGAGTATCACTATATTACGAAGGAGAAATATGTTTTTTCCGGTTCTTACATTAGAAAAAAAGCCACTATGGGGACTCACTAATTTAGCTTTAAGTCTTGTTATTTAGTGTAGTTCACAGAGCAACAGATTTTGCATCACTCAGGAGCTTTTTAGAAATGGAATTTCCAGTCCATTCCAAGTTTCTGAATCAGAATCTGCTTTCACACAAGATCTCCAGGTGATTCCTATCTCCATTAAAGTTTGAAAAGCACTAAATTAGCCTTATATAAACTGATCCACCCAGTTCCATCTGGCGGGTAACAATCCTTAAGATGAGTTATGATACATGTTTGAAGGTTTTATGAGAATGATGTTAAGGAATTTATTTAATGCTGGGGGAAATAAAACCGTTATTACTGAAAACCTAGGACTGTCAGGTACTGTGTTAGACATTTCCAAATCTATTAATTCATTTAATTCTTAACAATATTCTCTGAGGTAAGGGCACTATCTTCATGTCTCTGGGCATGAAAAACAGCCTCAGGTTAAATACCACATCTATTCCACAATCAATAAATTGAATAAATATTGAGCAACCCATTTCTGAAAGTCCCTGGGTTAGGCCTAGAAATAAAATGGGCATGGCCCCCTACTGTCATGGAATTACAAGGGTAGTGTGAGTTTCTAAGAGGGAAATCTAAACTTTCCTAAGTTACTTAGGGAAAACTTATATTTGGAAAGAGTATTTAAACTGATTTCTGAGAAGCACATTTTTGTAAAGGTGGCCCTGAAAAAAACAAACAAACGAGTGTGTCTGTCATGGATTTTATTTTATTTTATTTATTTTATTTTTTTTAAGATTTTATTTATTTATTTGACAGAGAGAGACACAGCGAGAGAGGGAACACAAGCAGGGGGAGTGGGAGAGGGAGAAGCAGGCTTCCTGCGAGCACGGAGCCCGATGCGGGGCTGGATCCCAGGACCCTGGGACCATGACCCCAGCCAAAGGCAGACGCTTAACGACTGAGCCACCCGGGCGCCCCTGTCATGGATTTTAGTAAGGGGAACCAAGCAGCAAGTTGAGGCTGGAACTTGGCAGGAATACTGCAAAACTTTGTAGCACAAGGTGAGGCTGTTGGGCCTCATCCACGACTCAAAGGAAGCCATTGGAGGATCATAAGCAAGGAAGTGACAAGCCCTGATCCACGTTTGGAAAAGATCCTTCAGTGAGACCTGTGCAAAGCCCTGCGGGCGGGTGGGTTTATTAGGGCCACTCCCCTAGTCAGCCTTTCTCCACCCAAGTCACCGCCTCCTGCTTCTCAGCGTAACTGTCTGAGGGAGGTGGGAAATGTATGAGAGGGGCGGGGGGAAGAAAAACATTCTCCAAAAATATTAAAAAGAAAACATCCCACTTGGCAGCGGGTGCGCGGGAAGTTCAGCGCGCGAGTTCCGGGTTTCCCGCCAGCCGCCAGCCCGCCCCCCCGCCGGCCGCAGCCCGGGTGAGCCCCCAGCCCCAGCTCGGCCGCAGCCTGCTGGGCCGCGTCCG